TAGAGTGCTAGACTAGCGTGTATGAGGCCCTGAATCTATTCCCCAACATGCAAAAAAAAAAAAAGAAAAGAAAAGAAAAATGTGTTTAGTTGAATACACAGCAATTCTGGAGGGGAAATGTAGCCTCTCATTTTTCAAATTCAGATTTTAGGTTATCCATGAACAGCAGTGAACGTTCCCTACAGTAAAAGTCATTTGTGTCATATTCAGGGATGTTAATCAAACGTGAAGACCCTTTCCTTTGCCAGTTTCCCTTCTGAAGGTTACCTGGCCCTCAGACAAGTATTTTATACATATCTGCCAAATAAAGTCTCTCTGTTGATTTCAGAGAAGATCTGGAGTATTGACCTATTCGTGTCCATGTCTGGTCTCCTAATTAATGTCCTTTGTACTGTCCTTGCATGCCACAAAGGTTTTCCACCCACTGGGAGATGTTTATTTTCCTTTCGCAAGGTCTTTTCTTTGACCCACTTATTTGATCATTTCTTCTTCATTTATCCAGCGCCAGCTGTGGACCTTCTCTCTTTGTGCACCAAGCGTCAGACACATTCCCCTTGCAGCAGCCACCCTGCCTCTTGGCTCCTCCTCCCAGGGAGGGCTAAGCTCTACCCTCTTTATGGGTCAGCGGATCTCCAAAGGTCTTTGACCCACAACTCACTTGAGAATTTGCGTTTCTCTTGTCACTGTAGCCTTTTTCTACTTTTGATTGTTTTCAGTCACTGGGTAAGATACCCCCAAAATGTATATAAACACCTCTCCTCTGCTCTGAATTCTTGGCATTTTTATGATGGAGGTGGAAGCCAGGGGGGTGATGCCTTCGCCCACCGAAAACAACCTTAAAAGAGGTAGGTAAAGCTGGGGCTGCTGACATCTACATTTTGACTATACAAATATTTTCTCCAGGAAACATACCTACTCTCCCTAGATTGTGTTTCCAGGCGGTCATCCTATTCTTACTTTGTTTTAAATATAGAAATAACTTAGGAAAAAAAAAAAGAAAGTGGATAAATGAAATATCACAAGTTGTTCTCTCAAGAATTAAATCGAAGGAAATGAAATCTCAGGATGATGATGCGTGCCAAGATAAAAAGGTACAACTTCTCAGGCAATGACAGCTCTGCTACTACAGAGCCAGGTTGATCCAGAGTGAGGTGACTTCTAGTGGGATCTCTGAAAGGTAGGGCAGGAATGTCCATCGAGTCTCCTCAGGATCCCTATCCCTAAGATTGTGCCAAGAAGACAGCTTCCTTTTCCTCAGACTCTGAGAGTTCAGCTATAAAAACCAACACATAATAGATGATATAAGACATTTTCAAAAGGGCATCTTAGAGACAAAATGTTTCCCACACCAGAAGCAGAGAGTGCAAGACTGCTCCTGTAACCTTATCATTTCATTAGCATATCTAAAGAAAGAATGTGTCAATCAGAAAAGGGATTTGGTGTTGACACACAGAGAAGAAATGAGAATGGAGAGGAGCTGTTTCCTAGCATGATTCTCTGCGGTTCAGAGGAGAGAGTCCCTGATTTGTCTATAGGAGCATCTGGGCTGCCTGACGACTAGTCCTCAGTGGGCAGATGGGCCATTTGGCCAACAGAAAGGATGCTAGCCCACACTGGCACCCACAGATCCATGCTCCTCTCTCTGAGCCAGAGTTTATCACACCAATGCCTGACCATACCTAGGCTTCCTGTTTTGTTTTTCTGTAGGGATGAAGTGTGCTGATTCTTGGTCTAGTTGAACTATTTTTCCCACTTAAAGTGGTCTTTTTCAAACTAAGCTAAGGCATTGGCATTCTGATTTACATCCTTCAGTTTCCTGAGAGTTTGCATAATGTGACTTAACAAACCTAAACTCCATGATCTCTGGGACAGTCCTGACCAGTTTTAGATCTAAAAGGCTGGGTACCAGCCCCTAAATGGAATAAAACGGGAGCTTTCAGATAACCGGGCATCCAGCATATTTGGTAATATGGCAATGCTCCTCCATGTTACCACAAACCTCTAATTCGTTTCAGAATAATAATGATGAAATATTGCCCATATACTAAGTACTTAAATTTTATGTATTAAAATCCTTATACTGCCCTTTTGAGGTAGGCATTATTATTTTCCATGCTACCAAGGAGGAAATGGAAGTTTAGAGAGGCCCAAGGTCACACAATTTGCAAAAGACAAGGTCAGAGTCCCATCTCAGGACTGTATTCCAAAGGTTCCCCTAGAAATAATTTAAGCTTCATATCACCATCAACTAGACAACATGTGCAGAAAGCAGCACAACTACTCTTTACAGCCAGGAATGGGAAAGCCTATACCACAGTCCACAGCAGGAGTGAGAATTCCACTGTTGGCCTTCCACAGGTAAACACCTTCAGCACTCTTCTGGAAACAGGGAACAGGCCTGATAATTCTGATCCTTTCTATCCATCTCTTTGAAAAACCACTACCAAGTTTTGAAATGACTGCTTGCTTTGCTCAAATCTTAATCCAGAGGAATAGAGCCTATGCCTAGAGTTGGCCAATAACAATATAAATAATATCAGGAGTATCTCTTGTTACCATGCAGAGTAGTCCCCTTAATCTTCCCTATTATCCTATTGAGAGAATTGAACTTCACACCCTCCAACTTAAGTGCAATATAACTAACAAAACGATAGATATTTAAGATGTACAATGTAATGACTTGATATATATGTACATTGTATAATGATTATCACAAATGGATATACACATATACCATCCCACATTGTGTGTGTGTGTGGGGGGGGGTAAGGACACTTAAGAATTTCTCTTAGCAGGTATGGTGGCATGCACCTGTAATCACAGCTACTCAGGAGGCTTAGGTAGGAGGATTGAAAGTTCAAGGCCTGCCTAGGCAACTTATCAAGACCCTATCTCAAAGCAAAGTAAGAAGGGTTGAAGGGATATAGCTCAGTGCTAGAGAGTTTGACTAGCATGTTGGAGACTCTGGGTTTGATCCCCAGTACTGGGGAAAAAAACAAAACCAAAAACTACTTTTGTAGCAAATTTCAAGTATATAATACACCCTAGTCACTAGGCTGTACATTAGATCCCTAAATCATATTCATCTTATAACTGAAAGTTTATACCTTTGGACCAATATCTCTCCATTTCCCCCAGTCCCAGGCCCTAGAAACCACCATTGGACTTTCTGCTTACCTCTTTCATTCCTACATATAAGTGAGATCAGAGTATTTGCCTCTCTGTGCTTAGCTTATTTTACAAAAGGTTTTCCAATTTCATCTGTATTCTCATAAATGGCACAATGTCCCATTTTTTATGGCTGAATGGTATTCTGATATGTGTGTAGATGTGTGTACTGCATTATATATGTATGAATATAAACACAACTCATTTTCTTTACCCATTCCCCACTTGATGGACACTTAAGTTGTTTCTGTATCTTGGTATAAGGTAGGCATTTTAATCCTCACTTAAAAATAAGGAATATAAATCTTTTTCGATGTTGAGTAATTTGCCCAAAGTCACACATCTAGAAGGCGATAGCCCCAGAATTTGGACCCAGGTCTGATCTGACTCTGGTGACTTTGCTTGGGGACACTGCACCCCTGGAAGCCAGAGAGGCACAGATACACAGCACACTGATTGAGCAGATTCACCAGAGCCTGGAGATACAGTGGACCACACCTTTGGCTTTGTTCTTGGTGGTTGGGAGCAGCTGCTACTCCCCTGAAACACTGGAGGAATGAATGAATCGCAGGATTAATTGGTCTCATAAGAGACCATCTCTGGCCTGATGGGATTCCTCCTTACCTTCCACAACTTGAAAACGGTGGTCACTAATGACTCCAAAAGTTATAGTCAACTGAATATCCTCAAATACTATAACATTGGATTCCATATGATGCAGATGAAATCCAGTCAATGAAGAAATATCCAAATACATAAAATGTGCAGGTCTAGGGCTGAGTAGGTCAAGGTAACACTGCTCCAGTAGCATGATGAAGCAGAACCAGCAATCTAGGCTATTCTGGCTTTTCTTAATCTTAAAAGGTTAAGAGGTAATTTAATCTCTTGCCTGTAAGATGGGGATAGCAACGGCTACCTTAGGGACTCTCATGCAGAAGAGGCTAACATACAAGGGGCTAACATACAGAAACACCTCAAATAGCACTTGGTTTATAATAGGCATTTAAAAAAAAATCAATTGTCTTCCCTTTTCCATAAATAATTCCAAGAGTTGGTTTCTGGGAGTACAGAGCTTGTTACTTTGAAGTATAAAATCCAATCACAACCAAACCTTTTTCAACACAGGAAGTGCCGCAGTCTGGCTGGGCACAAATCACGAGCCACTGAAGCAGAAACAAACTTTATTTCTGAACTCCACAAGCACACTCTACACAGGCTCCCGGGAACTCCTCCCCAACCCATGAGGCTTGTCCAGGAACCAGCAGCCAGAAATATCCTCCGGAAAATCCCTCCTCCTGCAATCTACCCAAGTTCCTGGTCACCACCACCCCCACCCCCATTATTTTGCTGCAGCCAGACTGCGGCAAGGAAGCACTGCTACTGAGACCATAAAGCTAGAAACAATATAAAAGACGAATTCACCTGTTTTCATAAGCGTGGACTAATGGAATGTCACCTAAAGCTCCAAGCCAACTGCTTTTGCTAGTCCCTGGAGACAATGTTGCCTAGAACTCTGACCACAACCTGGGTGACTGTCACTCACCCAGAAGATTAGGGAGTACAACCAGGTCCCTCCTGATAGGCCAATACCTTCTGGGGAAAGGAGTGTTTGAAAAGATGGGCAGACCCGTGTCTGAAAAGACTTCATCCCACTTCCTCCTCACAGGCCACAAAATGGGCAAGAAGAAAGGAAAGGGAGAAAAAGCACAAGGACCCCACACAGAGGTTTAAAGACAAGCAGCCAACCCTGAAATTCCCCAGCCTTACCCCCAACAGAGTGGAAAGGCCAAGCGAGGGGGTGGGAGGAAGTGTGGGGGCCAGTGTCCACCTACCTGCGTACCACCAGCCGGAGGGTCTTGTAGGATCCTTTCACAAGGGAGACGGCCTCCCTTCTGGAGCTGCTCAGTGTGACCTCATTGATGTGGACGACCTCATCCCCGGCTTGTAGTTTGGCAGTCACCAAATCGGCTTTGCCCCCTTCTTCAATCTGCTCAGAGAGACAAGAGAACCAGAAGTGAACTTCCCCCAGCCTGGGTTCCAGCTGACAGCCCCAGGCCCTTCCTGGACTCCTGCAGAGCCTGATAAACCAGCTCTGATGGAGCACACCCTTGCACCCAACCAGAGGGTAAGCTTCCAGAAGGCAGACAGGTCTTCTGTTTTCCACACCCTCAGGCACTCAGCACCTCTGCCCAGAGTGTGCTCACAAAAGTTAGCTGAAAAGATTAATGAAGGCATTTGCATCCAAAGACCACTATCTCAGGGCACTCAGGAAATACTCCCCTCTTAGATCTCCAACTCCCCAGACCACATGCAGCAACTAGTTTTTTTGGTTTTTTTTTCCTTTAGAGTTGAATTCTTTTCACCTCACTTTTTGGCCCCAACTTAAAATTCACTGGATGCGTAAAGCAGCACAGACAATGGAATTTACTCAGCACTAAAAAGGAGTGAGTTATCAAGCCATGAAAAGAAATAGAAGATCCTTAAATGCATTTGATGAAATGAAAAGCAGCCAGTCTGAAAAGACTCCATACCATATGATTCCAACTACATGAGACTCTAGAGACAGTGCAAAAAGATCCTTGGTTTCAAGGGGAGAGGGAGGAATGGATAGGTGAAACACGGAGGCTTTTTAGGTAAATAAAATGATGTGATACCGTAATGGTAGACACATGTCATTGTACATTTGTCAAATTCAACAGAAGGTACAACACCAAGAGTGAACCTTGCTCTAATCTATGATTGACCAATGTAGCCACTGCAACAAATATAGTACCTTGGCACTGCTGTCAACTGTGGGAGAGGCTAAGAATGTGTGGGGACAAGAAGTACATAGGAAATCTCTGTACCTTCTGCTCAATTTTACCATGAACTAAAACTGTTCTAAAAAATAAAGTAATAAGTCATAATTCATTCAACAAAGATATTCAACACCTGTATTATTCCAGAAATTGTTTTGCTGTTTGGGCTCTAATAAGGAATAAAATAGAAGGGGGAAAAAAACCCTTTGTTCTTCTGGTGTTTAGATTAACAGGTGGAGGAGAAGAAGCCAACGACAAATATAACACATAGGTGTAAGTGATACAGCATGTTAGTGATTGATGATGTGTTCTGGGAATAAACAGAGGTAAATAATGCTTGATCCAGAGACCATAGGCTAATAGTAGTTTGATATCAAAAATGATGAAAAGGAAGAAGAGGGAACAAATGAAAACAAAAAAACTGATTCATATTTTCTTTTTTTCCACAATTACTTTCCAGAATTACCTATTAAAAATTTTCAATAGGTCTTAAGATATGTAACAACATATATGATTTTTTTTTTTTTTTTTTTTGGTACTAGAGAATTGAACTCAGGGGCACTCGGCCACTGAGCCACATCCTCAGCCCTATTTTATATTTTATTTAGAGACAGGGTCTCACTGAGTTGCTTAACCGCCTTGCCGTTGCTGAGGCTGGCTTCCTCCTGAGCCTCCAGACCTGCTGGGATTACAGATATGCGCCACCACGCCCAGTGAACATATATGATTTCAACGATATAAAATAGTTTAAATTTATAAATTTTGCCCTTGTATAACTTTTATTTTAATATTTGAAATAACCAGCTAAAAATAATATTTCTATTAATTTATTATTAAATGATTATATATTTATGGATTTATTTTGAAGGATGAGAATAACATATAAAGTGTGTTAGGGGTCAAGGGAGTAGGTTCCTACCCTGCTGAATCCATATTACTCTCTGAAGGAAACCATTGACTGCTGTTCAGTTTATGCATTTCATATGTTTTTTTTTTCTCCTTGTTATAAAAATGATATCACATGCCACAAACCTCCTCAAGCCTTTTTGGCACTTGAAGGAGCAGCATTAAAGTGAGGTGGTGAAGAATCTGAGGAGTCAAACAGATAAACTAAGTGAGAGGAAGTTACCTGTTCTCTCTGAGCCTCGAACTCATCTACTAGTGATGACTAATGATGTTACCCACCTGGCAGGACTACAGTGCGTATTAATGAGGTACACCACATGAACTGTTAAATGCAGCTGGTTTACTGTAAGACCTCAAAAATGGTAGCTATTGTTTTCATATACTATATAGCGTGAAGATATTGCCAGTCATAAAATAACTTTAATAACATCTTGGTTGTTCATTGCACAATACCGTACAGTGTAAATATCTCTTGGTGAATTTAACCATTCTGTATTGATGGTCGTTTCTTCCTGCCTTTCTATGCATCTCATCCTACTAAACTTCACTTCTGACCTTCTGCAAATTCACTACAGCTCTTACATACTGAGCACACTCTAACATACAGGCTTTTACATCATTTGCTCGAGTTTTTCTTCTGCCTGGATTCCCCCCCCCCCCACTGGCCTCTTCAGATACCTAAAAGCTGCAGTATGCTATAATGGTCAAGGTGCTCTGGAGCCAGAATATATGGCCCTGTTTCTTAAGAGCTGTGTGGCTTCGAACAGGTTATTGAACCTTACTTTTCCTAGGTTTCCTCTTCTGTAAAATGATAATACTTACCACATATATTGTGAGGATTAAATGAGTTCAAGCAGATAAAGTGCTTAAATAGCGACTGACTCATAATATTATTCGATAAAGTTTAGCCTTAATTACTACCCATCCTTTGAGGTCAGGTTCAAGTTCCAACACCTCCAAAGCTTTCCAGGCTTCTCATCAGTACCCACCTCACTGCCTTGCCCCATGCATTTTGACCTTTAAAAAGTAAACTCTAGGACTGGATATAGCTCAGTGGTAGAGCACTTGCCTGGCGTTGTGAGAGACCCTGGGTTTGTTTCCCAGCACTGCAAAAAGAAAGAAGTAATCACTCCCCTTGCCTCAGTTTCAAATAACAACCCCTCACCCCTACTTAAAATAATATATAAACTGAAATGTGACATTTGAAGAATTTATTATTTTGATACTACTTGAATATGCAGCTGTGATTATCACACCATCCTTGGGCAAAGTTATTCATGTCTATGTCCGATGCCTGTTCCCTGCCCAGCTTGAACTGTGAACTCATGACTTCCTCTTTACTTCTGCCAGAATGCCTCACCTGATCTTGCACATAGGACCTCCTCAGAAAAGACTGGTTTATTTATTCAACATTTATTGAGTAGGTGTAGAGATTAAAGTTGGGGTACAATGATGAACACGATAGATGTGGTCCTGCTCAAGGTGCCATATGTGGAATTGAATCCCCTCTGTATTATTTGTTGACAATTTCAATAAAATGAGAACTAGGATGTGATCAACTTCTTACATGAAAAAGGAAGTCAAGAAAACTCATTGTGTAACTTATTATCATGTCCTCATGATGGATTTTGTTTGAAAGCAAACATGAGGAAGAATGTCACTATTTCACTGTTATTCACTGTTCTCATAAACTATTTATGTGTTGACAGAGTTTCTCAAATTCTTCTTGTTGCACTAAACTTTTAGGTATAAAATGCTCACCTTTTCAAAGTCAATTGAGGTAATCATTTATGAAATTGAGACAGTGAGGGCTGGGATGATTTTTTGAAATGGCATTTATCAAATACTAGCTGGGCATCTACTACCTGCTTGTTTTCTTGCCTTGCTGAGGATAGGGCCCAGGCATGTTAGGCAAGTGCACTACACTGAGCCACACCACCAGCCCCTGCTCCATGATTTGATTCTCTCATCTCTCCTACTTTCTCAGTGACTCATGCTGTCTCAGGGTTTTAATTATTGTCATTAGATGACTTTTATTTCTTTTCTCCAACACTGATCTTTTGCACAAACTCCTATCCTGTATTTTTAGTTTCTTGTTTTCTCTTACTCCTTTCTTTCCCTCCTAAACCTATCTTCTTCTTCTTTTTAAATATTTTTAGTTGTAGATGGACATAATACCTTTATTTATTTATGTGGTGCTGAGGATCGAACCCAGGGCTTAACACATGCTAGGCAAGTGCTCTCCCACTGACCCACAACCTGAGCCCTAAACACCTCTTCTGTTACAAACGTTCTCTTTATAACCCAGACTGACTCCATCTCTCTCTCCCTCTCCCAATTTCTACCTGTCTTGAGACAAGCCTTAGTCACCATCTTTGTCTTGGGTATTTCAGTACATGCCCTATCTCTTCTTTTAGGTTTTAAACTCCTAAAATTAGAGACTTGAGAATGCCTTCTTCCATTCATCCTAAAAATATGTTTTTGAGCATCTAACATTGTTAGGCACTATTCTAGGCCTGGGGCGATGTCAATGAAGGAAGCAGACCATACTGCCTTCTTTCTTAGAGTTCACATTCTAGAATGTTTTCAGTATATTTCACATCTGTGTATTTTTAAGAAAATACACATGCTCTGTGGCATGTCAGAGAGCCTCTGGTGATACAAACAAGACTGGATTATTCTCGAAAGCCCTTTGATTGATTCATATAAACAAGTCTTCCTGGGAGGTCAGGCCATTTCTAGTGAATAAGAGACCCTCATCTACCTCGTTTCAGCTAGCTGGGTTACAGCCACTGTCCTTGTGTGTGGATTACCTAGGACCCACCCCGCCTCACACCTCTTCCTCCTTCACTCCTGCTGGCCTCATTTGGTTGCACAGGGGTCAGTGAATTCGCTATTTGTTGGCCATTCAGTATTAAACCTGGTTAACAAGCAAGTTGAAGATATTGGCTCGAACAAGGCTGTGACTTACCTTAGTCTATAACATTGTTGCCATACATTATCACAAGTGATAAATTAAAATGTTGACGGGCTTTCGCAGATTGATGGCAATGTCCTGAAACTGACTTAGGTTTATGTTGACTATTCACACAGTTCATCTAAAATCATTGTTAGGACTTTTTTTTTTTTTTTACAAAATATTTAACAATAATCTTCCCGACCTATTCATCAAAGAGAATTATACTCTTTCTAATCTTGCACCCCACTGATCCTGTCTGTCAACAGGATTCGGTGAGAAATGAAGCTTATTATTTTAAACCTTTGGACCAATACTTGAACAGCT